CGGCCGGAGCCGGGAGGGAGCTCACCGGGTTGGTTTTGATCTGATAAATGCACGCATCCCCCCCCCGGGAGGGGGGTCAGCGCCCGTCGGCATGTATTAGCTCTAGAATTACCACAGTTATCCAAGTAGGAGAGGAGCGAGCGACCAAAGGAACCATAACTGATTTAATGAGCCATTCGCAGTTTCACTGTACCGGCCGTGCGTACTTAGACATGCATGGCTTAATCTTTGAGACAAGCATATGCTACTGGCAGGATCAACCAGGTAGGGGAGCGCGGGCGAGCCCGGAGAGCCCGGGAACCTCCCCCCGGCTCCTCCTCCTCCCTCCGGAGAGGGGGGCGGGCGGGGGGGGAAGCGGGGGCACGGAGGACGCGGGAGCGGGCGAGCGCGCGGGAACGCGCCACCAGGCGGCCGACCGCCGGCACGCGGCAAAGCCGGGCGAGCGAGGGGAGAGAGTGACACCGGCGAGCCACAACGGGGGGGCTCGCCTCCTCACCTCCCCCGACGCCCGTCGTCGCGGGCCGACAGAACGGCGCGCCCGGGCGGCACGACCGCACGGCGCCCACGCACCGCGAACCCGACCCCACGACCCCCCCACCGCCTCCTTCCCGCCGGGGGGGGGCGGAAGGAGCGGAGAGGGAACACGGGCAAACCAGGGCATCCGTCTGTCTCTCCACGGGGACCAGACGTCAACGAGCGTGAGCGAGGAGAGGGCAGAGCCCCACCCCTCCCTCCCAGCCAGCGGGCGGCGGCGAGGAGGAGACGGGGAGCCAACGAGGGGGAGCGAGGGCGGCGAGGCGGATCCCGGGTCGCCGCACACCAGAACGACCGGGCAGGCCCGACCGGCCCGAGAGCACACACGAGGGTGGGCGCGGAGCGGGCGCGGGAAGGGAGGGAGGCGCGGACCTCGATCCGGGAGACCGAGGCCACCGACCAGCGAACGCCGGCAGCGACCGGGAAGACCGACACCGGCGGGCCAAGCCGGCCGCCGACGCGACCCAACCACCACCATCCAGGACGGCGGCGCGGGCACACGGGCGCAAGCAGGCCACCGCGCGGTGACGAGCGGAGAGAGGAAAGAGCACGGAGAGGGCAGGGGAACCCGTGGCCGGGGGGGGGAAGGGTACCGCACCGCACCCAAGCGCGGGGGCACCGCATCACCGACACCCCGCCTGCCGGCCCGGCGGGCACGGGAGCGGCGGCGCGCACACACGGACGGGGAGGAGCGCCAGGCCCCTTTCTCCGCCCGGAGGCGGCGCGCCGACGTCCACGGTCCAGCCGGCCAGCCGGCCAGCCGGCCGGGTCGCGTGTGGCGCACACCCGAGCGGCCGGAAAGCCAGGGGCGACGCACACGACGCAACGCACGCCACACGGCCACGGGGGGGGTCTTTTCTCCAACCTCCCTCAGAAGCCGGCCCGAATTCACTCGCTCGCACGGACGCGGGGGCCGAGCGCACAGCGACCCGCGCCGCCGCGGACCGGCGGTGCCGGCAGGGGGTCGGGGGTCCGCGGCGACGACCCGTCGGCGACAAGTCACCGGCCAACGGCGGCGGCCGGAGGCGGCGGCAGGGACCCCGGGAGGCGGGCGACACCAAACCCAACGCACGCGAGCACGCTCACACGCGGACACCGCCGGCACAGAGCGGACAGGGCCAGGCACGGGAACCGGGGTCGCGCCGGGCACGCGGCGGCGACACGCCGAGAGAGCACAACACCCCGGATCCGGGACAGGGGCGGGGACGAAGCCACACGGCTCGAGACGGAGGAGACGATGCGATGCGGGCAAGCCTACGCACGGCAAAGCGGGAGGGAGGCGCGGGAACCCGGGACAACATCGCGCAGGCACGCGAGGCGGCACCCAGCGGGAGGAGGCACGTCGTGACGCCGGCTTCGGGCCCCTCGGACGGCCAACTCCCGAGCGAGGGACGCACGCGGGAATCTCACCACCATCGCCCCCGTGGCGTACCGGCGGTCCCGCTGGCAGGAACCCTCGTCGTGAGCAAAACCCATCCGGGAAGACCCTTCAAAAGCCACCGCCGCCGCGACGACGTGCCTCCCCCACACCGGGGGAGCAGCCTCACGAGCTGAGCGCCGTCCCCCCCCCCAAGAGAACACCAACACAACGCCCGACTCGACCGTCCGCCGGTGGCCGGCCACCAGGCCAAACCGGCGAGGATCGCGGAAGGCTGATGCGGGTGAGGAGGGCACGCCGGAAGCACAACAAGAAGAGCAGCGGGAGGGTCACCGGGTCGGGTCACCGGGGCGAGAGGCGAGTGAGCGAGCGGCCACCCCCTCACACGGGCGGGTGGCGCAGCCGCAGACCAACGGGGAGGTGGGACCTTTCCGGGCACAGCCGGCACGCCAGGTAAACGAACGCGGGATCTCACCACCCCCAACTCCGGGGCGGTCCCGCGCAACGCCTGGGACACCGAGCCGGCCGACCAGCGGACCGGAAACCCCCACCGCGGCAGCGGCGGGCCCCCCCAAAAGAGGCCCGAGAGGGAAAAGGCAGCTCTCGCACACACCTCAAAGACCCCGTGAACGCCCGCGGAGCCGCCCGCGCCAGCAGGGCCCCACCGCCTCCATCCACACCACACCGCCGGGCACAGCACCCATCATCGACCGCCTCTTTTTCGGCCGCGTGAGCAAGGGCCCACACACACCGGGATCCTCGGCTCCGGGGGGCCAGAACCCCCCCGAGCGGCGCACCACCACGGGCACGGCGGCCCCGGAACACCGCGGGGCCCAGCGCCCGCACGGCGCCGTCGTCGCCAACGGGCGGCGGCCCACACAGACGCTCGGGAACAGCGTCGCCAGGGGCCGGAGGGGGAGGGGGACGGGACCCCCAAAATCCCCACGGCAACCCAAGCACGAGGCCGGGAAGCCACACACCACACGCCCTCGCATCGCGACCCGGCACGGGCTCCAGGCTCCGCCACTCGACACACCGCACGCGAGGCAGGGGCGGGGACGGATCGGGAACGTCCTCCACTCACCACACCAGACGACGGCCCGGGAGAGGTCCCGCGGGACCCTCCCCCAGCTCGGAGGGGGGAGGCGCGGGCACGCAGTTTACCGACGCGGGCAGCCACTAGCGCTCAAAAGCGGGGCAGGGAGCGGCAGGGCCGCGGGAGCCCATCGGGGGCGGGCCCCCGCCAACCCAGCAGCGCACGCCGCTTCCCGAACGAGGATCGCTAGAGAACCTCTCCTCACTCTGAGGGTGGCCCGCACCCAACCCCGACGGGAACCCCGCCGGGAACCAGCACACATCAGAGGCGTCCATCCTTCCCACCACGGGGGGCAGGGAGGGGTGGGGCACAGGGGGGGGTCTGCGGCAGCAGCAACACCAACCCTGGTCGGTCGGCCTTGCCGTGCGGGGCCAGAGCAAAGTCGCGCACACGGGCGGGAAGCCCGCACGGGCCCCGCTCGCCTCCCACTGCAACATCTCAGGTCCCCCGGTGCGATGAAAGCCAGGTGACACGGCAGGGAAGACAAGCCAGGACCAGGGCGGCAGCTCATGCGGGGAAGCCACCGCCCAGCGCAACAAGGGAAGAGCGCTCCTCTGGGGAACCGCCTCGACCCCCCCCCCAGCAGAGACGTCAATCTCAACGGTAACTTCTCACTCGCACAAAAGCCCCACGAACCCGAGGTCGGCCGGGACACACCACGGGCAGCAGGCTGGCACAAGGCAGCGGACAACGCCAGGATCGGGAACGACACCACCACTCAGCCTCAGGCACCTGAGAGAACCAACCGGGAGCGTTCCGGGAGCACCGCAAGAGGGCAGAGCGCGAGGCGCGGTTTTTCCACACCACACAGCACGGGCAAGCACGGAGCACCGACCCTCCCTCTCCGCGGAGAGAGCCGACCCCCGTGCCGATAACGAGTCACGGGAAGAGAGGAGCAAGATCAGGGCGCCCCCCTCCTCCAGCGTGTACAAGTCCCCGACCTCACGGCGAGGGCAGGGAGAGCGCAGCCGGGCCCGGTTGCCGCACCCCCGCCTCCCCGCACACCACCGGCGCCGGCACGGTGGGACGGGTGAGGGCAGGGGCCCACGGGCAGAACGAGAAGAGCGGTCCCATTCGCCATGAATGTCCGTCCCTCGCCTGGCGCAGCTTAGGCCCGGGCCCGAAGGAGATCGCAACGTCACCACATCAATCACACCGAGGGGGTGGGAGAAGGCAGCCACGCGGCACTCGGGAGGCGGTGGCCCAGGGAAGCTCGGCTCCTGAGAGGGCCAACAGCCTGGGGATAAAAGCGTAGCCAGGACAGACACCCTTCCGTGAGTAAGGAGCGAGGTAAAAAGAAAAAGAAAAAAAAAAATGAAAAAAATACCACGGGGCTTAAGCGTCCCTGGCACTCGGGATAACCAGGACACCTCTGCCGGGCACAGGACCGAAGAAGCTAGAAAGGGAGGAAAAAAAAAGGAAAAAAAAAAAAAAAAGAAAAAAAGCCACGGACAGCGCTCGGGAGGTAGCGCAGCTCAGCGGCCGACCAGGCCCGCCATCGGGAAGCGGCAGGTCGGGGGAGTTGGAGCTAGGGGCGATAGGAGGAAGGAAAAAAAAAAAAAGTCACGGAGGTCGGGCGAGCCCAACGGCAGAACGGGGATGCCGCACACGCAAGAGTCCGGACTCGGCGGCCGGCGGCCCCCCCCCCCTTTTTCCTCCTCAAGCCGGCCACGGCGAGGGAAGCACACCGTGCGGGCCCTACCTATGCACACCCCAGGCAACCAACCACTCTCCTCCTCAGCGTGCCGAGGCAAGGGCCAGAATCCAGCACCGGGAGCGGGGGAGAGATCAAGGACGACGGGACTCACTCAGCCGCCAACCACCACCACACCCACGAGCCACCACAGGGACACAGGGCCTGCCCAGGGCAGCGGGAGCCCAGGGTGTGAGGGGAAGGACAGGGGGACCCGGACCGGGAAGAGACGGGAAAGGCCCGGCACACAGCATCCGAGAGAGCCCCCAGAGACCCGCTGACAGCCACCGGGACACAGCATGCCAGCACCCTCCTGCAGGTACAAAATCCTCACGTCACCACGCCAAAACCAGGTCGTCAGGCAGGGGCGACAACTCGCTGGCGACAGGGACCTCTCGGAAACCACATCAGGGACACCTGTCCCCAACACGTCCCCAACAGAGCCAGACACGGAACTCTCAGGGACAGCTGGTCGACCACATAAGGCGAAGACAGACGAAGAGCCAGGGCGGGAGCGGGGTCAAGGGACGCTCCCGCCCCACTACCTCGCAGGCACACACCCCGGGTGTGCACGGGCTCACCGCACGGGCGGTACGGGGAGCCTTCCCCCGGCAGACGCGAGGCACCCACTCCGAGAGGCACCCAACCACCACACCCACACCGCGCGGGGTCGGTGGTGAGCGCCCTGCCGCCAGCACGCACACACCCGGGACTCCCGGGCTCGGGTCCCCGACTCCCGAGGTGCTCCCTCCGCCTCGAGTTTTCCCCTACGCAGGGCCCACCGGGCAAGTCCCCGCAGATGGTAGGTAGGTCCCGGCCCCGAGGCTCGCCTCGGCCGTGCCCGCGGCTCCTCCCGCCGGAGAGGTCTGTCCTCCGGCCTCCGGGGCCGTGGAGGAGGCCGTGGAGGGAGGCCACACGGGGCCGGCGACCCAGGCCCTCGCTCCCGGCACGCGCCAAGCGCTCACTCGGAGGTGACTCCGACGACCATCCTATGTCGGGGATGGGGGGGGCGTAGGTCCCGGCCCCGAGGCTCGCCTCGGCCGTGCCCACGGCTCCTCCCGCCGGAGAGGTCTGTCCTCCGGCCTCCGGGGCCGTGGAGGAGGCCGTGGAGGGAGGCCACACGGGGCCGGCGACCCAGGCCCTCGCGCCCGGCACGCGCCAAGCGCTCACTCGGAGGTGACTCCGGGGAGGGGGGGGGGGGTCCGAGTCCGGGCCGGGACCGGCCCCACCACCTATCGGCTCACCCGGGGACCCTCTCCCCCGACTCCCGAGACGTCCCTCGTACTCTCCTTTTTTCGCCCTCAAAGACCAGAGTCCAGGGAGGGGAGGAGGACAAGGCGTCGGGCCCAGACAGAACTACTGGTCGACCCGACAAAGCTGCCACCCCCCGCACAGACCGGGCACCGAAGAGAGAGCGGCGACGCACGGCCCCACCCCGCGCTCGCCTGCGGGCGCAAAGTCCGACAGAACAGCCGCCCCGGCGCCACAGCGACACCACGGCGACAGTCGCGCCCGGCACCCGGCAGAGGCCGGGCCTCCGCCCGGCTCGCTGCCGCCAGACCTCCTCCTCCTCCACTCGCTCGCTCGGCTGAGAACGAGGGGACTGTCATATCAAAGCGGACGCCAGGGGGAGCACGACAACCGCCTTCCAACGACCGACTCCACCGAGCCGCCGTACCCCGGATCGGCGCGCGCCGGCCGGCTCTGAGCTCCGGAGACACAGAACACGGAAACAAATCGCCTCACTCACCACCGCCACGCACCGAGTGGCACAACCTAGGTCAGGACCTGCAGCCGGGTCCTCTCTGCGACCTCACGAACGACACCAGAGCCACCAGAGACCTAGACCGAGATCGAGCCGCCGCCGCCGCCGCCGCCGCCGCCGCCGCCGCCGCCGCCGCCAGCGACCAAAGTGAAACCAGGAACCAGGACGAGATTCGCCCGAACGGAGCGGCCCGAACCCGAGAACCGGGAAGCTGGGATCGGTCCCAAGCAGGAAGGGGCGGCAAAGACGGCAGGCCCGCACCACGAGAGAAAACGAACCGGCCACCCGCACGACCTCCGCCGCCCGTGGCAAGACCCCCACCCCCGCCCAACATGGCCAGAAAAGGGCAAGTGAGCGCTCGTCCCACCGTCTGCCTGCCCGTCTTTTTTTTTGGGGGGGGGGGGGAGTGGGGGGGGTTGTTTGTACGTTTTGTTTTCTTTTTCCCCCAGATGGAAACCAGAAAGAGAAAAAAAAAAAAAAAAAACTCCCAAAGATGGGTCGGCTCCAGCAAGAGACGAGCCGTCGGGAGGCACCCCGCTCACTTGTGAAAGTCCGCTCCTCGCCCGCCCCACAACACACTCCCTCCCCCCGCCCCCACCCGCCACCCCTCACAGGCAGGGAAAGGGCAGGGGGAAGGCCAGAGAGAGGTTTCTTCTAACACACAGAGAGTAGCTACGTCACGCACACAGGTCTGGAAAACCACGGTGACCGTGCAATGGGAAGCATGAGTCCACTCACCCATCACCGAATGACAGGAAAGCCAAACGAGAGCCGCTGCTGGCTGGGTGGGGAAGGAAGGGGAGGTGGCACCCGTGTGACGCTTATCCCCGGGCACCGCACCGGACGGAACGACCTTCTCACCGGTTCGTACTCTAGCCTGTCCAGACAGCTAGCCTTTTCTAATAGGCTCTGCCACTCTCTCTCTGGAGCAGGATTCGGGGCATGAGGCGATGAATCTAAACCCTACACACAGGTGTCGGAGGGTAGAGGCATCATCACTCACATGCCTGTGGTGGAGGACCTGGACCCGAGCGTGGCGGTGCACAGTGTGTGTGTGTGTGTGTGTGTGTGTGTGTGTGTGTGTGTGTGTGTGTGTGTGTGTGTGTGTGTGTGTGCGGGGCTGGGGGGAGGGCAGGTAGGGAACCCTAGGAGGAAACACAGGGAGAGACGAGGGGCCCCGGCCCAAACAGAGTGGAGGCGTCAGTCAGAGGGGCGATCCTATCGCCCGGGGGTGAAGCATGGTTAGAACCCACAGGCCCGGCGGGCGTACTTCTCTTTGGAGTTCGCACTGGGAACATACGCAGGCACAAGTGCCCCAGCACACACATCGCATCACAGACGGGTAGAGAGGCAGAGCCAGGGGTTCAGGCATGGCAAACACTCTATTCCGTCAACACACACACACACACACACACACACACACACACACACACACACACACACACACACACACGTTACGGTGTGTGTACAGTATCCACAAGGTAAAAGTTTATTCATCCATTCCCCAAAGAATAAGAATAAGATTATGTCAGACAGAGGGAAGTAGATCGACGGACTAGGAGCGCGAGGGGCGGGGGGGGGGGGGGGGGGGGGGAGGGGGTTGCCGGCGGCGGAGAAGAACCTAGAACAGGTGATGCCAGGGGAAGACAGACCGGCGGAAAGACAGACAGACAGACCGACCGACCGACCGACCAACGGCACGGCACGTGTTTTCCCTCCTATGTGGATGCTAGACCTAAACTATAACTGGACATGGTAAGCTACACAGCACTCCGGGCAAACAGAGTGTGTGTGTGTGTGTCCCCGTGTGGGTGACACACATAACGTCCTTTTGTCAGAAGGTGTAACTTCTCTGAGCATTTAAGATATTGCAGAGAAGACATAAGACGTGATATCCCTAAGTGGCACGACTGTGAACGTATTATCACAACCGGACCTGTTAGGATTAAAGCTGGAATTAGGAGGACAGAAACGTACCTGTCATTATTACAAGTATATTTGGTTTAGGATCTTTCAAAACACATTGATGTATCCTTCTGGACACCATGGTCTAGGACCACACCAGTAAATAGCCACTTCAAAGCCAGATCATCGGTTGGATACGTTTCAATTGGTTTATAGTGGTTCATATTGCAAGTGATTCTAGAGAAGACAGAGAAAAGAGAATAGCGGGGGATTGTCCCTTGCTGTTGGGTGTGGGGTGGGGTGGAGAAAAAAAAGGATTAATATTAGGCACAGATTGGATTCTTAGAGTGAAAACCATGGTGAAAATGGAATGGGAAGCAAGTTTACTCACCAATCATGTAATCATTGTCCTAGTTCTCCAGACAGGTTTTAATAATCTTTTCAGTACTGGTGCTCCAGCCACTCTAGAAAGCATACATGTAAGCTTCCACTGGCGCTAGACTTTACATACTAATTGTAGTCTTGCGCGTCTTCTCACAACCCAGCTTCTCAATGCCATAATAACAGATAACTGGGGAGCCACTTTAAAAAAAATAGCCTCCCATGGGCTAGGAAGGCGGCTCAGTGGTAGAGTGCTTGCCTTGCATGCCTGAGGCCCTGGGTTCGATTCCTCAGCACCACATAAGCAAAAAGAAAAAAGCTGGGAGTGGCGCTATGGCTCAAGTGGTACAGTGCTAGCCTTGAGTTGAAGAGCTGACAGACAGCATCCAGGACCAGAGTTCAGGTCCCATGACCGGACCCTCCCCCCCACAAAAAAAATAGCCTCCCAGGAAATACAGGAGCTATTTAGTCAGCTTGCCCCGCCCACACCCAGAAGGGAAAAGAGAGGGTGAGTGTTAGCCTAGTAGGGGGGCAGAGTTCCTCAGGTAACTGAGATAACTTTTGTCTTGTAAATGTAGTCATGGCAACGACTTAGTTGCAGTGTTGCTTAGGACCTTTTAGAAGAAAATGGAATTCCAAGAAGAGAAGGACTGTTATCAGGAAATCTAGGCAGGAAGCCTCTCAGAGAACTACCTTTTGCTAAGGCCAAGGCCTATGTTAATGACTGCGTAAGATGAGAACACCGCAAGAAAGCAATCTTAAGGTAGTGTTCTATACAGAATATGTATATATATATATACAGCTTTTTTTTTGGGTCCTGTCGTGGGGCCTGAACTCTGGACCTGGATGCTGTCCCTCAGCTCTTCAGCTCAAGGCTAGTGCTCTACCCCTTGAGCCACAGCGCCACTTCCAGCTTTTTTCTTTTTGCGTATGTGGTGCTGAGGAATCGAACCCAGGGCCTCAGGCATGCAAGGCAAGCACTCTACCACTGAGCCACCTTCCCAGCCCAACAGAATATATTAATAGACTTGAAAAATACAAGAAGCCGGGCGCTGGTGGCTCACACCTGTAATCCTAGCTACTCAGGAGGCTGAGATCTGAGGATCGCGGTTCAAAGCCAGCCCGGGCAGGAAAGACCGTGAGACTCCTATCTCCAATACACCACCAGAAAACCGGAAGTGGCGCTGTAGCTCAAGGGGTAGAGCGCTTGCCTTGAGCTGAAGAGCTGAGGAACAGCGCCCAGGCCCAGAGTTCAAGCCCCACGACCGACAAAAAAAAAAAAAAGAAAAATACAAGAAATATCACATGGAAATGATTCATACAAAACAAAAAATTGAAATGAATTCTTTATTTCTTCTTTTCTTCCTTACCTTTTTTTTTTTTTTTTGGATGTGAGGATTGAGATCAGTGCCTGGTTGTTGATATTTACATTTTCACTATTTTATTTTTTCCCCAAGGCAGCTAATAGTATACATTTTTGGGCAACAGCTCCACATGTGGTTTCCTGGGGAATCCTTAATCTCACAGTAGACTAAAAGACTACCCTGTTAGGCCAGCTTGGAAACGACCCTTAGATTTCTCTCAGCCTTCTAAGTAGCTGTGGGTTACAGAGATGAGCCAGCAGCATAAGGCTAATGGGGCTCATTTTGTACAGGGGAAATTGTCTTTGATTTGGAACTGGAAAGCTGTTCCATGTATCTATAACAACTGTACTTTCAGGTCTGTTGAAGGTTTCCTCAGGGCTGATAGTACTGTGTGATGCAGGACCACAAGGCGGGCAGAATCACATGAGGCGGCACTTTATGGTGCCAGTAAAATCAGGAAGCTCTCAGTACCCGCCAAGTGTGATGGGTATTCCTTCCTTTCCCTGCCCTTGCCCAGAACAATAGAACGACGGTGAGCAAACTTCATCTAGTGTCCACTTTCTGAAAATACCATGGTTGTGAATTCCAGTTTCCTCTCATGAAATGAATGAATCAAGGAAGGGTGGGGGTGGGGCACTGTAGGAATTGAGATTAAAAATAATCATTGCAGGCACCATGAGACCAAAGTTTGAATTATAAGATTCTAAGGTATTGTATGAGAAAGACAAGAGTTTTGGCTCAAGGAATTAGAAATAGAAAAGAAAATGCAATCTGTGACTAAATAGGAGAGAAAATGACAAAATATTGGTTTGAGTTTTGAACGTGATTGGTTAATTCTATTTTGAATGGTGAAGGCCAATACTCCATTTTAACTGCAGCTAAACTATTGTATTGTAAATCTTTTTTTTTTTTTTGTGGGTCGTGGGACTTGAACTCTGGGCCTGGGAGCTGTCCCTCAGCTCTTCAGCTCAAGGCAAGCGCTATACCACTTGAGCCACAGCGCCACTTCCGGTTTTCTGGTGGTTTATTGGAGATAGGAGTCTCACGGTCTCTCCTGCCCGGGCTGGCTTTGAACTGTGATCCTCAGATCTCAGCATCCTGAGTAGCTAGGATTACAGGCATGAGCCACCAGCGCCAGGCTTGTAAATCTTTTTACTTATGCTTCTGTAAAAATTACAAACAGATGCTAACCCTCACAAAGGACACATTGTTAATTCCTCCAAGGGACAATCTGTCTTTATCTCTTTCTTTACTGTGTGGCTACAACTAAGCGTCTGGGCACTATCACAGAACGTTTTATTTATATACGACTAGTTTTCTACCAGTTTTGAGCCACAGCACCATTTATGGGTGTCTCCCGCCAATGGTGGCTTTGAATCATGATCCTCCGTTGCCTCTCAGCCATCTCAGTACATAGGATTATAGGCTTAAGCCATAAGCACCCAGCTCAGAGACTAATTATGTTTACAGCAAAATGTACATTTGGAACTGAGAAGCTACAGTATATAAATGACTGAGGTCGCAGCTCTACTACAGATTTACTCAGGGTGAATTAGTATTATATCATGCAAGAGTGAAAACTGGTAGATATCAGTACTGTCCTGCGTGCTTCAGTCAGGCAGAACACGGTGCAACCAAGGTATGGTACCAGGATAATCACTGATATGCCAGAATCCAGCCATCACCAACGTTCTTCTCCCTCTCTAGGCAATGTTATGGTGAGCACTCGCCACCTACTGTCCATTTTCTGCAACTACCCAGGTTAGGAATTCCAGTTGTCTGACAAGAAATAAGCCAGAGAATTCTTGTGGGTCCAAAGGTGGGGTAAAAGGCAGGGCACTGTAGGAATGCAACAGAGTTCCACAGAGGTGGAACCACAGAACTCAGTCCAAGATTTGATTTGTCTTCTGGGCTGCCTGACACTCTCCACAGATTATT